ATGGCTGGCTGGGGAATTCTGGGAGTTGAAGTCCACTCATCTTAAAGTGGCCAAGTTTGGACAACACTGCTGTACAATCTGGGCCATTCCTAAAATACAAAGACAGGCCTAATGGGAGGGTTGAGTAGCGAACACCTGCCCGCCCCTTAATTGCTAGCCTGGGTCTCTACTCGAATTGATCTAGAAAGAGGACCTAAAGCCCTGTGATCTCTGCTGTGAACTGGACAACCAGTTGGTGCAGCCAGCACTGCAAATTCATCTGCTGGCTAATGTGTTCATGGTATCCAGGATTTTGTGGTCAAGCTTCATTGGACACTTAGTTGTAACACACTAAATTCAAAGGGCTTTCATCCTTGTTCACGCCTTTCATATGAAACCAGTGTGTGATGTTTTACTGTTGTTTTGTGTTCCCTTGTTGGAAGAAACGTTGGTTTCCAACTGTGTGTGAATGGCTTGCCGTTTAAAAGGCACTTCTATGCCCAGTTCATCCCCTACCATAAGATGTAGTAAAACCATGTCCTGCTGGGTATTCTTTTATGAACAGATGCCAGTGATACAGGAGGGAAATCTAGAAGAATATAGGTAAGCTGTATTCATAACCAGGGAAGGGACTCAATTGAAGCTAGAGCTCTCCGGCTTGGTAGCAGGACTATATTTGAAAGAATGGAAGTACATTCTACCTTCTTTCTCCCCCTCTGAAATACAACCAGGATGAACTAACTAAAACTAAAAAAGCTACTGAGCGACACGTATGTACAAGTGGAACTTCCAATATGTTTTCAGATATGCTCAGCAAGAGTGAGACCTGCAAATTTCTCAGCATACTTCACTCCAGCTAAAGCTCCATCTTTCATGACTCTTCCAGGACCTTTTTGCGATGCGGTGGCCTCTTAATATATACGCTTCTTCCTTCTGACCACTCCCCTCCTCCATTACAAAGTTGTAAAATGGTTGCATATAGATGGGTTCTACTGCATATTGTTCAAGAGCACAAATATTGAAGCTGTATCAAGAGCGCGCAGCTCACATAATTTACTGCTCTGAGATACCATTTCATTTCTGATAGAGTGATTGGAAAGTATCGAATTCCAAAAGTTGCCTTGCAAATGAGTCCTTTAAATGTAAATTAAGCTGCTGGGATCTCCAGAGAGAGACCAGGTTATAAATATTTGAAATAACAATACAGTTCTATCAATGTTGATGGTACTTTGCCATAAAACATAAGAAAAAAAGCCATGGTTTTGCCTAGGATAATTTGCAGTCTACGTTTCAAGAAAGGTATCTGAGTGAGATCATGGTTAAGGTATGAATAAGAAGTAGGGATTGCAAACTTGTGTAGCTAAGTGCAAGCCGGTTTTAATTTGAATGGTAGTGGTGCTTTCTTTGAGAATCCTTCCCCCTGCTCCCCCCACCGAATTACTATAACATGGGATTAAAATAGTAGGTGCTTGGGAACAAAAGCCAGGTGATATTTTTTTAATTACATTCCAAGCAACTTCAACCTGCATTCATTTTTTTTAAAGGTACTTATACCGAAGTTCAGAAAAAATGCAAATTTGAATCAGTGTTAAAACAACAATGTTGAAAAAGATTTAATATTCTGGTAACCAGGGGTAACATTTCACCACTATATATATAAAACCGATTATAGTGTGAGAGGATGAAAGTGTACATCTGTGCTGGAACAAGCTCCAGGGTCAGTGCTCTACTTTTGGGAACTTGATATGCAGCGTCGTCTTTGGAGCTGGTACAGATACAAATTTCTAAGTCAAGATTTTTTTCAAATTATTGCTTGCTGTCTAAATCCTATTTTGTTTTCATATAGGGCCATTTGGGGGCCTTTGATGCAGCTATTGTACTATGGTTACCCCCTGATTTATATGGGAGATACACACACATACATACATACACACACACACACACACTCTACAGATATTTTAAGGACGGCATAAGAAATCTATCTTACACCAGCTTGGTTTTAGTAGCCCATTTCACCTATTATCCACTCTCATTGGCCGCAGTTCTGGGATGTTTCAGTCCGTCGGATTTCCCACAACTTGCATGATCTCTTCTTAACTGGAAACTGGGATTAGGAACATAGGAAACTAGGTCAGATCTTTCGCCCAAAAGTCAACTTTCTAAGATTTCAGACAGGTTTGTCGCCAACTCTACCAAGGGATAGCAAGACCTGTATCTGGGACTTTTTGCATAGTACACACGTACCCTTCCACTGAGCCACGGTCTATCTTTCACCAGCTTATATCTGATGATGGTGTTGTAGCAGGGAAGCTATTCCAAAGCAAGAAGAGCTTTCACAGATAGTTGGCTGTGAATGTGCAGAGAGAGCTCAGTTGGACTTTTAGGCACTCTGGCCAATGAGTTCTGGTTGGAACTTCAAAGCTGTTCTTTCATTCAAGTTAGTGGATAAGCCTGTAGCCCTGTTTCCTATGCTATTTTGCTTTTCTACCCCTATGACAATAGCATCAGTTGAAAGCAATGGAAGCCATACTATCCCCAAAGAGGATTTAAGTGTTCAAAAACATAATATGATTGGTTTTGCTGACTGCTTTAGAAATTCCTTTTTTTCCCTTGCTTTTTGCTTTAGGAAATACTTCAGTGTTGTGAAACAAGTTAAGGGCAGCGTTACATAGCACATTAATTGACAGATTTATTGCAGCAATTCTGTAACGCTCTTCCTCTGGAAAAAAAAAAGTTGCTTTCCCACACAGTAATAGTAGTATTTTCTTTTTTTAATCACATGAAGATGCTTTTATAAAATCAAGTAACCGTGGAAGCATTGCTGGGAATACCCTGTGAAAATATGGATTCCATCAAATCAGTAGTGCTTGATTTTTTTTTTATTCCCTCAATCGGTGATTTATTGCATCCTTTCTTAGTGGGTAATTTTAGGTATAATTGTCATAAATATATTGTTCCATTAGCAGTTGAAATAACATTTTCCTTTTTTTTTTTCCTATACTACAATTTGCAAATAATTCCTAATACAATTTAATCATCCATTCCAGATTTTAGCATGGCCCAGAAGAGTAACTACAAAATTTTTAGCACCGAGCTTTAAAAAAAAAAATCAAGCCTACGGCAATAACAGTGAAGTCTGGCAGCCTCATTTGGGGAGCAGGAGAAAGTCAGATTTTGGTATCCTCTCATGTACCTTGGACTTCCATATGGCTTTTGCATACCAAACCTCAAAATAAAATGTTAAAATTATTGATGCAACTGTTTTTATGAAGGATGCATTTACATTTTTTAAATTAAAAAGGGGGATTTAGTGGCATTGTGAACATTTTTGTTTTTGAAAATATATTTTTTGGTGAATGTACTTATGGAACTGAAGAACAATGAAGATCCTGCTCATTTCGTGATAAAGATCACA